GTTTTATGTTTTTGTTTTCTTTTTGTTTGTTTATATGCTTTGTTTTTGTTTTCTTTTTGTTTGTTTATATGCTTTGTTTTTGTTTTCTTTTTGTTTGTTTATATGCTTTGTTTTTGTTTTCTTTTTGTTTGTTTATATGCTTTGTTTTTGTTATATTTTTGTTTTATGTTTCATGTCCTGTTTAGCGTTTTCTTTGCGTAGTTTTTTCACAGTTTATTACTGTTCTTCCTCATTTTGGATTAACTTTCCGTTGATTATTTGTATTATTTCAGGTATTTTAAATTCCAAATATCACTCTCGTACAGAACACATTTTTATTATTTTTTTTCTTTTGCTGACAATACAAGGGGATAAATTCAAACAATCTTCTGTTTGTTTTGTGACTGTAAACTGAGAGAGACACGCAAGCCTACACAAACAAACACAGAAACGCACACACATAAATGCATTCTTTGTTGGAAAAGTTGAACAATTTTAGACGATGAAGGAAAAAACAATTGCAGTGGAGGTTGCATTGTATTGCAGGAAAAAGTGTGAAAAGGGATATACTCTTGCTAATGGTACTTTGATAGTTCCACGCCAGATCTCGCGTACCCTTTTTAGGATTAGAGATTTGCAACATGCCCTCCGTAAGTAGGGGCATTCAATACCCTTTGTTTTGCAAGGCGCATAAGAACAGTACCATTAAAGAAAAAAAAAAAATATATTGGACAAAAGACGTGTGTGGAGTTTGTCCCTGAAGGTAAGAGGTTAGCTGGTGGTGCAGGGTCTTGCGAAGGACCCCTATCACCTCTCCCCCTCCCTACTTCTCCCCTCCGCTACCTCCCCGTTCGTTCCTTTTCCCCCTCTCCCCCCTCCTCCTACTCCCTTCTTCTCAGTTCCTCGCCTCTCCTACCCAACTTGCCATGCTCACTTCTCCCCTTCTCTACTTCCCTACTCCTATCCTGGTCTTCCCTTTCATTTCCTCCCTTCAGCACTTCTCTCCCTTCTACCCTCATTCCCTGTTCCTCCTCCTCCTCACCCCCAATCTCTCCTCCTCCCTCCACCTCTCCCCTGCTCCTCCCCTTCTCTCCCCTGCTCTCCCCTCCTCTCCTCCCCTTCTCTCCCCTGCTCTCCCTGCTCCCTGCCTGCCTTCTCTCCCCTGCCTCTCCTCCCCTTCTCCCCTGCTCCTCCCCTTCTCTCCCCTGCTCTCCCTGCCCTTCTCTCCCCTGCCCCCTCCCCCCGCCAGAGGACTGAATGAAAGGGTCCCCCAAGATAAGTGTTTGCAGCAAGAGCTTTTGAACGAGGGGATGCGCCAGCAGTTGTCGTTGTGGTTGTGGGTGCCGTGCCAGTTGTGGAGCCAATAAGTTTCAATTATACCCACCAGAGGCCACTGGGAAAGGGAGGGGGGTAGAGGAAGGTGGAGGGGAAGGGCAGGGTATAAAGGAGGGGAAGGAAGGGAAACTAGGGGGAAATGAAGGTAGATAGGGCGGGAGAAGGAAGGGCACAGGACAGGGAAACAGGAGGGGAAGGAAGGGAAACTAGGGGGAAATGTTGAAGATGAGGGGAAGGAAGGGAAACTAGGAAATGAAGGCAGGAGGAGGGGAAGGGAAAGAGAGGAGGTAAGGGAAGATGGGGGCGAGGCGAGGAAGGGAGACTGGTGGAGGGAGAAGGAAGGCGAGGTTTAGAGAAGGAAGGCAAGGAGGGGGATATTGGAAAACGGGAGAGAGAGGGGGACGTCACCCGGAATGGGAATGCCATGCAACGTAAGAGATAGGAGGGCTTGTTGCATTGCGAATAAGTCACAGAACATGCGACTGTTTTATAAGAGGATTCAAAGCGCGCTGAAAGTTGGAGTGCGAATAAGAAGCGTCGTAGGGGCCTGTGCCTTGCTAAAAATTGTGTTTCCATTCACGTGTACTGGAGTTTGAAGTGATTGCAAATTTAAACGGACTAAGAGTTTTGCAACAGCCTTTTTCAAGCAACTGTGAATGTTCTTCCGTCTCGGCTTGTGTCATTTCTGAAGCCCTCGAAGCTGTACTTATATTTCGTTGTTTAAATTTCGAAGCAGAATTCGAATCGTGTTGGAGAAGACATTTAATTTTTTTTAGCCGGGGCTGGAATTCTACGGAAACTCGACTGCTGAACGGAAACAAAAGACCGACGGATGGTGACGTCACTTCGGAAATTTTTGCCATTTTCTATGACTACAGATGGTTTGATGCAAATGAAAATATTTAAGCAATATTAATATATTTTCCCATGTTAAAATAAATTCAACACTATATAGTGACTTTATAGCTTCAGCCCTGCAACACACCATGAATAATCGTATACCTTTTAGATTAATCAAGTTTACAGGTTCACTGTTGCATTTTAAGTTATAAATCTAATTTATTTTCTGCAAAGAGGTGCGGGGGTATTTTAAGTTGTTGAATGTTGTTACATTATTAGCTTAATTACATATCTGTTGTATATTATTTTATGCAGTGTAATGAGCATGAAGGTAATGCAGGAAATT